AGAGACCCATCGACCTACACAGAGACCCATCGACTTACACAGAGACCCATCGACTTACACAGAGACATATCGACTTACACAGAGACCCATCGACTTACACAGAGACCCATCGACTTACACAGAGACCCATCGACTTACACGGAAACCCATACACCCACATAGAGACCCATATACCCACACAGAGACCCATAGACTTATACAGAGACCCATCGACTTACACAGAGACCCATCGACTTACACAGAGACCCATAGACTTACACAGAGACCCATCGACTTACACGGAGACCCATACACCCACATAGAGACCCATATACCCACACAGAGACCCATAGACTTATACAGAGACCCATCGACTTACACAGAGACCTATCGACTTACACAGAGACCCATACACCCACATAGAGACCCATATACCCACACAGAGACCCATCGACTTACACAGAGACCCATCGACTTACACAGAGACACATAGCCTCACACAGAGACCCATAGACACACACAGAGACCCATAGCCTCACACAGAGACCCACAGACCCACACAGAGACCCATCGACTTACACAGAGACCCATCAACTTACACAGAGACCCATCGACTTACACAGAGACCCATCGACTTACACAGAGACCAATAGACTTACACGAAGACCCATACACCCACATAGAGACCCATATACCCACACAGAGACCCATCGACTTACACAGAGACCCATCAACTCGTGTAGATCTAAAGACTCCTTGCCCCCTAGTCGTAGTTGATGCATTATAAATCCACATTTTAATTCATAATAAAGGTTTTTCTTTTGGGTTACATCGCGGAAATGTAAATGTGTCGTTGAACCCTCCGCCACCCGACGCAGAATTGCAATTTTAAAGGTGCAATTGTAAAGTCATAATTTTCAATGTTACGTTTTGTTCTCCCAATTATTCATTTGTGTTGTGTATTGTATCGTTTTGCAAATTTATCAGCGTGGGGTTCCACGTCCATAATTATCTGGCAGCTCACCGGCATCGGTTTAATTAAGCGAGCCCTGACTGTTGATGAGACACTTGAATGTTAAAACCGGTCCAGAGCGTTGCTCGTGCTGTTACTAACGCTGCCGAAATGATGCACTCCCAGAAGGCCGTGCGACTTATAGGATGTGCAAAGAATATATATTTTTTATGTAGAGAGACGGATATGGGAAGGGAAGAATTATGAAAAATAAGAATTGGTTTTACCCTTTTTGGCAATAAAGCAGAAGGTGCTAAGATGTTCAAACACCAAATAGAACCACCCACGGAACTTGTGGTGAACATGTAAACAAACGTGCTCTGATAATATATGGCATTAAATCTTGACTTAAAGCTTTCGTGACTGCAGGAATTCCTATTCTATGGGTCTTTCGGTAAAGTCATGTAGATAGGTTCAAGAACCTATCTAGGTTCAAAGAACCTATCTACGTGACTTTACAAAGAACCTATCTACGTGACTTTACAAAGAACCTATCTATGTGACTTTACCGAAAGACCCATAGAATATGAATACAGTAATCCCTCGCCACTTCGCGGTTCAAGTTTCGCGGCCTTAGTGCATCGCGGATTTTTCGAACTGATTTAAAGGCCTCATTATACCTGTGTAGGGGTGTTAAAGAGAGGGCCCGTTATGCATGGCAGCCTATGGAAAACAAACACAGTGGGCGGGGCTACGTAAGTGCACGAGGAGGTGCCCTCTACGACGTCCGAGCCAGACACCCTGGGGGGGGGCTGGTTCGAACGTTATGATCCCCCGGGGCCCCACCCCTCAGGGAGGGGTTGGGTATAAAAGGGGATGTTTCAAAGGGCTCGGCAGTTATGTTTTAAGCTAAAGGAAGAAGACTGAAGACGTCTTAGATAGAGCCCTGGACTCCCCTAGTTCGATGTCCTTTTCAGGGCCGGACAGGACTGAGCCAGCGGCGTGGTCCCGAAAGCCAGAGCCGGTGCTCTTGTAAGAGCTGGTCTGGAACTCCGGGTACCGGGCCCGACTTACCAGTGTCGGGCCAGATAGCCTCCCCTAGCCCATTAGTGGAGGACTCGGGGCTAGGACAGAGTTAGCTAGGGGTGTATCCCGAGTTATACGGGTGAGGGGGCCGATACCCCCTCGAGTGTTATATGCCCACTGTCGTATTGTGAAATAAATATACGTGTGCCTCAACCTCGGTGTCAAGCGTCCTCACCGGTACTTCACCTGTGCAGTAACACCATCATCATCATCATTCATCATCACATTCATCGAACTGCACAGGTCTGTCATCGTCGTCATTGTCATCGTCATTGTCATCGTATTCGTCGTCATTACTGGAGTCAAGTCTTAAGATACTACTGTCATTGGTGAGTGTAGAACACCATAATACGTATCGTATGAGAGAGAGAGAATGTATAATATTAAGGTTTTATAATTAAATAGATTTAAGTAAAATATATATATAAAGTATAAATATACATATTTTAAACAATCTGGTACCCACACACACATATACGGAAATTCCTAGGGGGCCAATCCTACTTCGCGGATTTTCACCTATCACGAGGGGTTCCGGTCCCCATTAACCGCGATAAACGAGGGATCACTGTATACTGGTAGGAACCACCTGGTTCCACCAGTCCACAGGGGATTATTGTGTCCGTCCATCCGTCGTGCATCCAAAAATGGGAGGGGTCGGGCTGGGTGGGGAGGGGAGGGGCTGGTCACCCCGTGGTGCCCTCATTAAACTCAACGTTTAACCTACTCACGCCGGCTTGTGCCCGCCCTCACAGTCGGGCATATTTGCGGAATACACCACGCCGCCGTTGACCCTGGCCATTGACCGAGCAACCCAACGTTCCTACCAGCTCCCTCCGCAGGAATGTGTAATGGCATTGTCTTTGAAACGGATTGGCCTACACCAGAGACAGCAGCCATCTTTATGGCCTAGTCTCACCAGTGTCAGACCATAGAACAACGCCAGAAGGCGAACAGTAACACCTGTTTTATTGCCAGGAAGGGTAAACAAGAAACCTATTCTTATTTTTCATGCTTTTCTACTGTCAAGAAGGTCCCATGATATAGGGGGAGAATTGTCCGTTGTGTCTACGATCCGTCTATAATCTAAATCAAAGGCGTCGGCAAACTGGGGCTTACGGATGCACATACCGGGTGGCTCTTTAACAACAGCTTCGTGACGTTATTCGCCGCAGTGCATTGTGGCTCTTGAAATACCGAGTTGTGGCTTTTGTTGTTGTTGTTAGTTTTACCGAATTCGAAAACAACAAATGTCTCGTTATTTTAGTTGCCGACCACCCCCGGTCTAAGTCGAAATCTGCCCCGTTGCCCGGCACCTCTTCTGCAGAGCCTGCGAGCGGTCTGCCATCACGCGCCGGATGAGTTTATCGGTTCCAGTAACCAGACGGTTTCGCTAGTTCGGATGTTGTTTGGGTGGGTGGGGGGGGGGGGAGGTGGTCGACTCAGCTCTCATGGTCGAACCACTTTGTGGTCAAGATCAGCAGTAAACAGTGGTTGTCCTTTGAATATACTCACCCCTGCCATGGCAATGTGGAATTTCCACCACTGCCTCTTGCAGGGCTTGATACAGCAATCGTGCTGTGACGGTTCCACCTGAAGACGGAAGCTTGTGTTGCCTCCGAAACGTCGTGATTTTTATTTTATTTTACTTTTATTAATTTTAATTTTTTACCTACGTGACTTTACCGAAAAAACCTAAGAATATTTAAAACGGGAGTTGATGACCAATGCCTCAATGCTCGTTTAAGTAGGATAACACTGTGGCTCATTTGAGTTTCATATGTCCATGTGTTCTCATAACTAAAAAAGTAAAATTAGGCAAATCGCTTCCATATTTTACTTGAGGGTCGGCCTTGCAAAAGTTGGTTTCAATTGTGGAACAAGCGACGGAATTCTGCCGAGACACAAACGGGGGCCGTGACTCGCCGCCTGGTTGCAGAGGTTTCGCGGTCGCCCTGGTAAATACTGCGGTTTTGTGTGCTAACCGTAAAATATTTGCGCTGCCGTCTTCCCTGCAGTGGACGAAGACCCCCCCCACCCCCCCGACGTAATTTCAGAAGAGAGTCGTAGGCCCTTGCATGCCTGTGTCGCGGTATAAAATTAGCAACAACAAAAAACGTAACGATCACAAAAGAAAACCACTGAATTTGGTAGAACCAACCGAGCCGATGCTGTTCGCCTGGTCCCGCACAGAGGCAGCTGCCACCAGGGGGTTCCCTAGGCTAAAAATCTGCGCTGAGACGTGTGAGTATGTCACGTCATTGCAAGCTGCTGCTATTGTACAAGCCCGGGCACCAGATCTCCCTCATCTCTTCTGTCCCTCTCACTCGCTCCCTTTGACTCACATTGAGACCCATACACTCACATAGAGACCCAAGACCCACACAGAGACCCACAGACTCACATAGTGACCCATAGACTCACATAGAGACCCATACACTCACATAGAGACCCATAGACTCGCATAGAGACCCAAGACCCACACAGAGACCCACAGACTCACATAGTGACCCATAGACTCACATAGAGACCCATACACTCACATAGAGACCCATAGACTCGAATAGAGACCCACAGATTGGCATAGAAACCCATAGACTGACACATAGACTGACATACATACCCATACTCACATAGAGACCCAAGACCCGCACAGAGACCCATAGACTCACATAGTGACCCATAAACTCACATAGAGACACATAGACGTACATAGAGACCCATATACTCACATAGCGACCCATAGACTTACACATACACTCGCATAGAGACCCATAGACCCACATAGAAACCCATAGACTGACAGACACATAGACTCACATGGAGACCCATAGACTCAAATAGAGACCCATAGACTCACATATTGACACATAGACTTATATAGAGACCCATATACTCACATAGAGACCCATAGACTCAGAGAAAGACCCACAGTCTCAGGGTCTTAGGATGCAGTCCCTTTGATGACTCCGCTATGTGATTGCAGACTGTGTTGAATTAGGGGGCAAATAGCAGCGATAGTGATGGCTTTGTTTAAAAGCAAATGCGCCTCCAAAAGAGTAATGAGATGAACACGAACAAGTTATAAAATACTTTATGCGAGTGCCTATATCTACAGTGTATCTGCGCGTGTACCGGTGTGTGATGTATGTGTGTGGGAGCAGTAGTGTACATGCACTCCTCTACTTACGAACATTAGACTTACAACTTTCAGAGATACGAACAAACCTGGTACGTATGTCCAGTTGCATGTTCAGACCGAGAGTCGTAAGTTCAACCGCCGCGCAATAGATGGCAGTGGTGGCATAGACATCTGCAGGACATTAAGAACCGGTGGCATCTCCGTCTACAGGAGAGTATACAACTTTTAAAGCCATTCCCCGTGTTTAGTGTGCACGCCGTACAACGTGTTTGGAATCAAAAGGAGTAAAGTTGAACTTATGAACAGATCGACTTGTGAACAGACCACTGGAAACGAACTCGAAGTAGAGGAGTCCCTGTAGCGGTTAGCGCACTGCGCTATGAACCCAGCGACCTGGGTTAGAGTCCCGCCCACGGTCAACATCAGTGATATCTGAACCAGTCCTGGGCCTCCCCTAGGTTGACTCAGCCTTCAATGAGTACCTGGTGCAGTACTTATTTCGATGCGCAATCAAGTTGAAGGTGGCTGATCGTGGTTTCTGGCCACACCACCTCAGCATAGGTGCGCCGTGCCAGCCTTCATAGGTGCTCGCTAACAGCACAGTCTGTGTAGACTACACGAGGGATCTTTCCATTTGTCGATAATGTGTGTGTGTACTAATTGTGCATATGTCTGTGTGGTTTGTGTTTATGTTTATATTAGGGATTGGTTCAGCCCAAATTCGGATTTTTTGTATTGTATTTTTTTAATGTAATTTTAGATGTTAGCAGCTTTCTTTGCTCACGTACAGAATGCGATAATTTCAAACTGTCTATATGTTAATAATCACTGTCATTTCATAACGTGAAGTTCCATCAGCAAAACAATAATGCGCAAGCTCTTGAATGGTAACAATTAAACCAAAAGTGGAGTGGCGTCACGCAGCCAATATTTGGAATGGATAGAAATGCACGTGACACCAGGGAAGTGATGTCACTTCCGGTGACGTCACGTTTTCCATAAATTCCAAAAACTCAACATTTTGTTACGCCCTAAATCTCGTATCTAGGCCATATTTTAGAAATTTTCGGATTAATCCGAAAATGGGGACCATGTTCCGAGTGTATATATAAATGTGCACGCGCGTGTGTGTGTTTGTGTGTGCTTGCCTTTTCCAGCAGGCAGCCGTGTATGTAACATCATTCCCCATTGGGATGTATTGGGTTTCCAAGTCCAAACTACCATGACATTTTCATTCCATCCTTGAACATTTTTGTCACCTCTCGATCCAATAACACACCTTTCCAAAAAAATGTCTTCCTATATAATTCCACCTGACCACATACGATCGCGTCTGTTAGCATTCTAATACTATTTCACGTTATTACAATTCCTTTTTTCATCATAAAATTCAATTGCATCCCAATTTCAGGCCATACAATCTTAATAAATTCCATAAAAAGTCAAAATCATTCCCATCCAAATTGCATGATGTTCGAATGAGATCCCATATCATGAAATCGCATCTCATCCGTCACAATTCCATAAACCCCAATACATTCCACTGCGTCCCATAGTCGCAATTCGAATCTCACCTAATTGAATTTCATGAAATCCCATCCGATAAAATATCACGAAATATTACTCCATCCCAAGGAATCCCATTGCATCCCATAAAATATCATTCCATCCCAATTTTATCCCATGCAATCCCACAAATTCCCATTGTTTCTCGTAAAATTTCACTCCAATCCCAGAATAATTAAATGTTATGAAACCTCATGCCATAATATCCCATTAAATCCCAATTTCATCCCATACAATCTTATTAAACCCAATTGCATCCCATTAAATCTAATCGCAATTCCAGTTTCATCCCACAATGTCACGAGCTATCATCCCAATCCGTTCCGATCCCACTGTGTGGGTCCTGCCAATTCTTCCCTAGAAGGTGGTCCCCGTGGGTATGCGTGGCAGACAAGTGTAGGCTTCAGGTGCGTCGCTCAGGTTGATGGGGTTCCCGTCGAGCCGGACGTCCTCAAGGGCTTTACGGAAATAGCTCAGCTCCTTGGGCTTGCAGAATGTGTCCTCTCGAATCTGCTGGATGTTGTTGTTCTGCAGGAGAAAGGGGGTAGGGGATAGATTTAAAAGGCTGTACATTAAATTTCCAGTTTGTTATATTAGTGAAATTAATTTTACCCTCCGCAATTTTGTATTCCAAAGTAGTGCTTGCTAGTATCAGTGACACGTACTCACGAGACAGAAATGTCCACCCGGATCTCTCACAGAGCAGTGCATATGGTGCGTGCTCGAGAAGAGCTCACGAGAACCGGTATCACGGGTGCAACTTCTGAAATCACGTCAAGTTACATGTGACACTGGTCCGCCAAAGTTGGTGGCAGTGCATTGCCCCGGAAGATTACGTCACAAGACTACCTATGAGGTCACGCCAATGAGGCCTCGTAGTTTACATTAGGGGCACACTTTTTTTGCATGCTCTGCAACAGTTCAACTATTTGTTTTATAACAGTGTATGTTCGCTGTAGAGGAAAACTAAATAGCAACGATAAATGTACATGGAACATGTGTTTGTCGCATATGAGACTAAAAAATATAAATTCTCAGAGCTGGACTTTAGTCAAATTAGAATTTGTAATTTAATGGGGTTGTAGTTGTGCAGTCATTGGTAGCAACCCGGTTTAATAATGAGCAGCTGAAATCTGAAATCAAAGGCAAAATTACATCTCGCATTCATCTTCAAATCAGTTCCTGAAGAAGCTTCCAGCACGTGGAGCGAAACATCGGACATCATGCCAAACAGTACGCGGTGCGACCAGAACACACATCGGAGAGATAGACAGCACAATCGCAAAACCTGGTTGTACTTGTGACTGTGTGTGTGTGTGTCTTTCCCAGAGAGCGACAGTGTAGCATTTAGCACGCTGCCAGTTCGATTCCCGCTCAAGGCCAACAACAGTGAGGATTATCTGAGCCGGGTCCCGGGCTTCCCTTAGGTCGACTCAGCCTCAAATGAGTACCTAGTGTGGTGTGTAAACATTGCTACTAGGGATACAATGGGGGCCGGGCGTGGTGCTGACCACCCACCCCCTCGTATGTCGTGCCAGTCTTTATAGGTGCGCGCTAACAGCACTTGCCCCAATAGTATGTTGAGGCTATATTGGTGGGGGGGGGGATCTTTGTCTTTGTGTACCCCAGTTGTGGCACGGTGGTCACCTGTAGGTGTAGCACACGCAGGCTGTCGGGAAGAGGCACGGGGATGAAGTCGAGCTGATTGTCCGACAGGTAGAGGTATTCGAGCTGCTTCATCTTCTGTTGTGAGACCAAAAAACATCGAGAGGCATGAACGCTTTCCGGCGAACGAACGGGAAGGAAATCACCACACGAGCTAAACGAATGAACCATTTGAACAATCTTTATTTGAAGCTTTCGTGACTGCACGAATCCATACTCTTTGGTTCATTCGATAAAGTCACGTAGTTATAAAATGAACAAGGCGACAACCAAAAAAATTTTTCAAACAATAAATCAGAACAAATCGTTCAACGAACAAATTTCATCGTCAAACGAGCCGATCACTGCGTCGATCGAACGAACGAGCGAGTTACCTCGAACATGTCCGCCGCCACGCCCTTGCTGGTCACGTGGTTCTGACGTGCGTCGAGGCGCCGAGTGGCGGGCGGCAGCTCCGGTAGGGCGACCAACTCGTTCCCCGCCAGCAGCACCTCCTCAAGCGCGGGCAGCTGGGCAAGAGCGCCAGCCTCCACGGACGTGAGGCCGTTACTCGAGAGGTCGACGCGTTTCAGCTGGGCTGGAAGGCGCAGGGGAGCAAAGGAGGGGAAATTGGCGGAGGAGGGCGCTTGTGTAATGTGAGGATATATCCGGGTCGCTGACGGATCACAACTCGTCACGATGATTGGCTCTGCCGGTCCTGGTCCATAGCCAATGGGGGGAAGCCTAGGGGCGTGGCCCTGACGTAATGGGAAGGTGACATCTGTAAATAGAGGATTGGTTCTGCTGGCTTTAGCCACAGCCAATGGGGAGACGAGTCGTCAGGGGCGTGGTCCCGGGAGCCTACGATGGAGTCTGGAAGATTCCATAGAGGCTAACCAGGATTGGTGGAAAGGTACCACGTGACCCGGGTATTAAATAGGGGTGGAGACGAGCTATGTAGCTCTTTTTACACGCTTTTATTTAACTCACTTCGTCTGTTGTATCCTCAAAAAAGAAATCTTGTAACTCAATTTTTACACACTTCCAAATGTGCTATCGACTGTAAACTTAGTATAGCTGTGTCATACTGATGACAATACTATATTCTATCATTAAAAATTAAAAATACATATTTTTAACAATATTTTTAACGGCTCTAATTGTCCACGCTCAACTGACGTTGCCTGTAAATCACCACGGTCCCTTACGTCACGGAAAGCCTCGGGGAGCCACGCCCAGGGGCGGGGGATGTGGAAGGAGGGGAGGGGCGATGTGGGAAGGGGGCAGGGGGAGGGGCAGCTCGGACAGTACATTTCATTAAAGCGTGTTGTTTTTTAAAAAGTGTTTTTTAATATTTTATATTTCTGAAGCGACCCGACTATCGCAAATAATAGCCAAATAATCTACTAAACGTCTGATGTCGATTCTAAAGGTGAGAGGGGGGGACCGAAAGACTTGAAGAAAAATCCACGCGACTACAGGGAGAGAGACCGCAAATTACAAATATACAGCAGCAGGCGTCAGGATCGGGATCGGGATCGAACCCACGACCTCCTGTATACCAGGCGAGGTAGTTAACATTTTCCCACCGCAGTTGCATGCTAAAAAAATGAAACCAGATGTCTTTTCTGACCTTCGTGGAAAAGTAGGCCAGGGTTGGCAAACAAATTAAGAAGAACGGCCATTTTTTTAGCAAATTCAGTCAAAAAAACTCAATATTTCAAGAGCCGCATTGCACCGTGTGGTGAATATGAGACGGTGACCATTAATACGTCACGAAGCAGTCCTTAAAGAGCCACAGCATGCGGCTCGGGAACCGCAGATTGCCGACCCCTGACCAAGGAGGATTCTCGGCAGCTCCCTCGAGTGCATTTGTCTCCGGCTCCTCCGGTTCATTTCTATGCATTTAGAATCAACATCACGTGTTTACAGTATTTGGCTGCTATACATTAAGCCACGTTCATTGAGCTATCATTTGTAAAATCCAGATCGCTTCTGAAAAAAAGAACTATATAGCTCAGTGGAGCCTTACCTGGTTAAAAATAAAATGTTTAGCTAAAACAAATATATAGAGTTTGAGTTTTGAACTGTGAACCTGGGTTGCTGGGGTTGTGATTTGCACCACATTCAGGTGGCGCCGCACTCTCCCCCACGTGTCCTCTGGCACGGCGACCAATACGGTGCAGCTGCCCGTCGCAGGGTGGCCCTACCGTAGCCGGTGAGGTCTTTCTTGCGCAGCGTGCGGATCTTGTTGAAGCGTGCGTAGAGGTAGACGGTGTCCTTGGGCAGCGGCGGCACGCTGTCCAACTCCAGGTCGTCGCAGTAGACCGAGCCGTGCACGCACGAGCACAGCAGGCACGTGGGCATGTCTGGTGGCGCGGACACCACAGAAGGGTGTCAACAAGCACGCGGCTTCGTTTGTTTGTGTTAATGTTGTTTAGCGATGCACTTGTTCGCTCAACAACAACAACGACGACGATGACGCCAACAAAACTGTCGCTGCTGCGGTACCTGGCCGTGCAGACGCCGCTTTTCCACCGCTCGCGAGCACGTGACGCAACAGGGCCCGTGGCCCCGTGACGTCACAGGCAGCTCATTAGTTTCTACATCATTAGACCTCCTTTGCCAGTACCAAAATATAATAATAGGGTGGTCTAATGATGTGGATGCTCTCATTACTTTGATAGTGCATTGTCTTTGAGCTGTACGCCTTTTGGCGTCCTCTGGTCGAGCACCAATTGGGTCGAGGCTCGAAAGAAAGCCGTCCCTTGGTGTGGACCAATCAGTTTCAAGGGCAATGCCAATATATTATCATAGTGTGTTTTTGTTTGCATTTTGACCGCAAGTACCGTGGTTAATGCAGACATGAATCCTTCTAAAAAGGTTTCAGTTTTGGTGCCAGAAAAAAGGCGAAAAACACCCATTATTATGATTAGCTCATGAGTTGACTGTGACGTCACGGCGCCCATTGCTCTCCCTCGATGAGCCCCCGCTCCCCAGAGGTTGCAAACGGGTTTTGATTCCTTACCCGTACCCGTACCCTACCCGATACCCGGCTACCCGTACCCGGCCGGGTATTGGGTAGGGTACGGGTATTGGGTACCCGGTTGCGACCTCTGGGATGAAGCCATGTTGCAGGCGCGGGTGGGTTGATTCTAGGAACTTGAATTGTGAGAAGAGACAAGACGTTGGGAAATGAGTGACAAACGATTACTCACCAGTGATTCACGGCCTACCCGTACCCGTACCCGGCCGCACCAGGGTCGCAAACGGTTACCCGTACCCGTACCCGGCCGGGTAGCCGGGTATCGGGTAGGGTACGGGTATCGGGTACCCGATTGCGACCTCTGGGATGAAGCCATGTTGCAGGCGCGGGTGGGTTGATTCTAGGAACTTAAATTGTGAGAAGAGACACAAGACGTTGGGAAATGAGTGACAAACGGTGACTCACCAGTGACTCAGGGCCTACCCGTACCCGGCCGCACCAGGGTCGCAAACGGCTACCCGTACCCGTACCCGCCCGGGTATGGGTAGCCAGGTATCGGGTAGGGTACGGGTATCGGGTACCCGGTTGCGACCCCTGCCACTCCCCCCCCCCCCCCCCCCCGGTAGCGTCGTGACGTCGCACCTTGGGGTAGCACCTGGCGGCCCAGGTCCGTGGCGGCGCCTCCGGGGGGGGTGCCGGGCACCGCGGGGGCCCCCGTGCGGGTCCCGCTGCGGTGGGGGCTCTCCCCGAGGCTGCTGTCGTCCTCCCCTGAGCCGTCCTCGCCGCCCTCGAAGGGGGCGGCGCGCGTGTCGCTGTACGTGGTGTCGTACACGCTCGGCACGTCCGTCGAGCCGCCCGACGGGCCCTGCGTCTCCTCCGTCTCGTAGGTGTACGGGGTCTCCTCCGCCTCGTGCGTTTCTTCCGTCTCGTAGGTGTACGGGGTTTCTTCGGTGTGGTGTGTTTCTTCAGTCTCGTGTGTATCTTCAGTTACGTGCGTTTCTTCAGTTTCGTGCGTTTCCTCTGTCTCATAGGTGTAAGGGGTCTCCTCCGTCTCGTGCGTTTCTTCCGTCTCGTAGGTGTACGGGGTTTCTTCGGTGTGGTGTGTTTCTTCAGTCTCGTGTGTTTCTTCAGTTTTGTGCGTTTCTTCAGTTTCGTGCGTTTCCTCCGTCTCGTAGGTGTACGGGGTTTCCTCCGTCTCGTGTGTTTCTTCCGTCTGGTGTGTTTCTTCAGTCTCGTGTGTTTCTTCGGTTTCGTAGGTGTAAGGGGTTTCTTCGGTGTGGTGTGTCTCTTCGGTTTCGTGTGTTTCCTCCGTCTCGTCGGTGTAAGGGGTCTCCTCCGTCTCGTGCGTCTCTTCGGTCTCGTCGGTGTACGGGATTTCTTCAGTCTCGTGCGTTTCGTCAGTCTCGTCGGTGTACGTAGTTTCTTCAGTCTCGTGTGTTTCGTCAGTCTCGTCGGTGTACGTAGTTTCTTCAGTCTCGTGCGTTTCGTCAGTCTCGTCGGTGTACGTAGTTTCTTCAGTCTCGTGTGTTTCGTCAGTCTCGTCGGTGTATGGGGTTTCTTCAGTCTCGTGCGTTTCGTCAGTCTCGTCGGTGTACGGGGTTTCTTCAGTCTCGTGCGTTTCGTCAGTCTCGTCGGTGTACGGGGTTTCTTCAGTCTCGTGTGTTTCGTCAGTCTCGTCGGTGTACGGGGTTTCTTCAGTTTCGTGCGTCTCTTCGGTCTCATATGAGTAAGGGGTTTGTTCAGTCTCATGTGGCTCTTCCGTCTCGTGTGTTTCTTCAGTCGCAGAGGAGTATGGGGTTTCTTCTGCCTCGTGTGTTTCTTCCGTCTCAAATGAGTAAGGGGTTTCTTCTGCCTCGTGGGTTTCTTCAGTCTCGTGCGTTTCATGTGCATCTGACGTTTCTTGATTTTCATGTGCTTCTTCTGCCAAGTAGGTCTCGTCCGTGTCTGGAGTTGCATGAATTTCTTCGGTTTGATGTATTTCAATCTCGTAACTGTCCGGTGATTCTTCTTCTGCATGCGAGACCGATGGCTCGTGTGTTTCTTCTGCCTCGTGTGAAACGGAAGATTCTTCAGGCACTTGCGTTTCTTCAGTCTCGTAAGTGTCTGGCGTTTCTTCAGTCTCGTGTACTTCTTCTGGCTCATGCGTTTCTTCTGCCCCATACAGGACTGAAGAATCTTCGGTCAATTGCGTTTCTTCAGTCTCGTAAGTGTCTGGTGTTTCTTCTGCCTCGTATGTTAGTGGCGCTTCTTCAGTCTCGTACGTGTCTGACGTTTCTTCAGCCAGTTGCGTTTCTTCAGTCTCGTACGTGTCTGGTGTTTCTTCAGTCTCGTACGTGTCTGGTGTTTCTTCAGTCTTGTAAGTGTCCGGTGTTTCTTCAGTCTCGTACGTGTCTGGTGTTTCTTCAGTCTTGTAAGTGTCCGGTGTTTCTTCAGGAACTTGCGTTTCTTCAGTCTTGTAAGTGTCCGGTGTTTCTTCAGGAACTTGCGTTTCTTCAGTCTTGTAAGTGTCCAGTGTTTCTTCAGTCTCGTACGTGTCTGGTGTTTCTTCAGTCTTGTAAGTGTCCGGTGTTTCTTCAGTCTCGTACGTGTCTGGTGTTTCTTCAGTCTTGTAAGTGTCCGGTGTTTCTTCAGGAACTTGCGTTTCTTCAGTCTTGTAAGTGTCCGGTGTTTCTTCAGGAACTTGCGTTTCTTCAGCCTCGTAAGTATCTGATGCTTCTTCAGTCTCGTAAGTGTCTGACGTTTCTTCGGCCAGTTGTGTTTCTTCAGTCTCATACGTGTCTGGTGTTTCTTCAGCCAGTTGTGTTTCTTCAGTCTCATACGTGTCTGGTGTTTCTTCAGCCAATTGCGTTTCTTCAGTCTCATACGTGTCTGGTGTTTCTTCAGGCACTTGAGTTTCTTCAGTCTCATACGTGTCTGGTGTTTCTTCTGCCTCGTATGTTAGTGGCGTTTCTTCAGTCTCGTAAATGTCGACCTCATCAGAGTTGGTTCCCTGCAGCATACGCACACACGTACAAAGACAAAGATCCCCCGTGTAGCCTTAACAGACTGTTGGGGCAAGTGCCGTTTGCAAGTAGCACCTACGAAGGCCGGAACGGCACACGAGAGGGTGGGTGGCCAGCACCACGCCCGGCCGCCTTTGTCTCCCCAGTGGCGACGTTTACACACCGCACCAGGTACTCATTTGAGGCTGAGTCGACCTAGGGGAGGCCCAGGACCGGTCCAAAATTCCAACTCGGGTTGCCAGGTTCGTAGCGGCCGCCATGGACAAGGCGATGGTGAGCAGAGCCCCTGGAAGTGCGATCGTAGGGGGTCGCAGCCTCGGATTCCATCTCGATGTCTAAGTTCTTAAATCTCTCCCACCATCTCTGCACAGAACCCATCAGCGCGGTTTGATTCACATCAGTGAGTCGATCGGCTGCTCAGGTAGGGTGTGGGGGGGGAAACACAATCAACGTGTGGAGTTCACCCATCTCTGCTTCCAAGAGTTCTGGCCAGCGTGGGAAGAGTAGACCAAGCACCCCCAATTGATTCTAGATTTGAAGCTTTCGTGACTGCAAGGAATTCATACTCTTAGGTTTTTTCGGTAAAGAGACGTAGGTAAAAATAAAGAAAATAAATAAATAATAATTTTTCATTACTTGTAATAGAAATAAAATAATAAATCACGACCGTCACAGCTGAATTTACTGTATTATCACAGTAAATTCAGCTGTGACGGTTCCACCTGATGACGGAGACTTGTGTTGCCTCCGAAACGTCGTGATTTAATATTTTATTTCTATTATTACTTCAATTATTATTTATTTCTTATTATTTATTTTTTTCCTTCGTGACTTTACCGAAAAAAACTAAGAGTATCACACTTAATTTGGAGCTTTCGTGACTGCAGGAATTACTCTTTGGTTCTTTCGGTAAAGTCACGTATAAAGAGAAAATAATAAATTAAATACTAGCATGCGACGTTTCGATTGCAACACAAGCAATCATCATCAGGTATAACTGAAATAGAAACACAAATCTAGTATACTTAGAAATTTTATGTAATACAACAGAGAGTCGGTGTTGACTGTTATGTTATCCGACTCTCTGTTGTATTACATTACATCTCTAAGTATACTAGATTTGTGTTTCTATTTCATTTATACCTGATGATGATTGCTTGTGTTGCAATCGAAACGTCGTATGCTAGTATTTAATTTATTATTTTCTCTTTCTACGTGACTTTACCGAAAGAACCAAAACCTAAGAGTATCACCCCCAATCACGCATCACCGCCATTGGCCACTGGTCCCCGACTCTCCGAACCGGTAACCGATTGTGACGCTTCAACGATGAGAGTTCAACCACCCCGATGAAACTCGGAGAGCTGCGTGGAGTTCAAAAGAACGATCCCTGAGTTTGTCTTCCACGAAGCTCATGGTCCATCCTGAACCGCAATCACGGCACAAGCCGTGGCACAGAGGTCGCAAACGGGTTTTGATTCCTTACCTGTACCCGTACCCGGCCGCACCAGGGTCGTAAACGGGTACCCGTACCCGGTCGTACCCGTACCCTACCCGTACCCGGCCGGGTACGGGAAGGGTACGGGTATCGGGTACCTGATTGCGACCTCTGGGATGAAGCCATGTTGCAGGCGTGGGTGGGTTGATTCTAGGAACTTGAATTGTGAGAAGAGACAAGACGTTGGGAAATTAGTGACAAACGGTGACTCACCAGTGACTCACGGTCTACCCGTACCCGGCCACACCAGGGTCGCAAACGGGTACCCGTACCGGGCCCGGGTATCGGGTAGGGTATGGGTATCGGGTACCCGGTTGCGACCTCTGCCGTGGCATGCACAAATGGAAACATCTCCAGTAGCAGTGGTGCGATTGTGGTCATCCAGAACAGAGACCGGGGTGCAACGGTATCACGAAGCGATGAACCCGATCCAAAAATACGAAGGAGACATCGCAGCGATGCATTACACCGCTACTCCTCACACGGATATCTGGCCTGACCACCTGAATTCAAGAGCCGAATGGCTCACAGGGCTATACCTAATAAATGAACTTGAAAAAACTTGAACTTGAATGTGATATTGTACTCGTTGCTCTGCATCTACAACAGCCATATGAAAGAATAAAACCTAAAACATTTTTTTACGATTTTTATTTTACCAGCTAAAGCCCCATTAACTATATTGCTTTTTTTCGGAAGCGACCCGCCACAAATAATAGATGCATGAAGTGGCTTGTCGTGGGGAAATGTTTAGCAACCGAACACTCTAAATGGGTGATGTTGATTCTAAATGTGGAGGGGAAAACCGGAGGCCCCGGAGAAAAATCCACGCGACCACCGGGAGAGAGACACGCAAACTCCAAATATACAGCAGCAGGCGTCAGGGTTGGGAACGAATCCACAATCTCCTGCAAACCAGGAGAGATAGTTAACATCTCGCCACCGTGATGATGATGAGAGAGAGACACGCAAACTCCAAATACACAGAAGCAGGCGTCAGGGTCGGGATCGAACCCACGACATCCTGCAAATCAGGCGAGGTAATCAACATCTCACCACCGCGTGTGAAAACGGTTACCGGTTACCCTCGTGTAACAGCCCCGGTGTGAGTGGAGGAACTTACTTGTGGGAGAGTGATCTCCAGACCCAGGTCGTCCTCGTAGCTCGCAGTGCCAACGTCTATGTCCCCCTCGCGTTCGAGGGGAGCCGCCACCACCACCATCACCGGCGCCATCGCCACCATCGCCACCACCACCACCATTGCCATCACCGCCGCGGACTGTGGTCCCATCTTCGCCGTGTGTTGAGCTGCGTCGTCGGAGAGGACTGAGAGAGGGGGGGGGGGGTGGTGGAGATGGGTGAAGGTAAAGTCAGAGTCAGTGATTTAAAGGAGGTGGCCATCAAAATGTGATCATGTTCTATGGAAGAGTTTCAGTCGGATTCACATTTAAAATGCCACGTAAATATTTTTTGTCTGTTTTTACGGAACAAAAAAATGTGTTTGTTTCTTGTGGCGAGTCGAGTTATCCTGAGTCAAATTATCATGCATTCTCTATATAATTTACCTAAGATAATGTTCGTTTTAATATCGAGTAATTGTTTAATCTAGAGGCTCTCTAACATGTGTCCAGGTGTCCGACGTTCCGCTCCACGTGCCCGTGAGGGAGCTTCCTCGTGAACCGAAACGACCCGTGAATTCAAAAGCTCCTTCTCCAGCACGTGGTGCGAAACGTCGGACTTGTTGGAAACAGCCCGCTAGCAGCACAACGCATTGGTATGAAATCCTGCTGGGGTGAACCATCGATCGATCGAACGATCAAAAGCCTCGAGTGAGCGAACCAACTTTTTTTTTTAAATAAACACGTAAATATATATATATACCGGGGAAATTATTTGAAGATAAGCGAGATGAGGTCCCCTCTAAAAAAGCCGTGCGGTGCCCACTGTTGCCGTGGCGCCCTTCAAAAGCCGTCGCGCTTCCCAACGTCCCTTTTATCGCCGCCCGATCACCCCCCCCCCTCTCCCCCCTCCTCTCTCTCCTCCTCGCATAATTTTAATAACGAAATGAAATAATAATGAGTCGAGCGAGATCTCACGGGCACACTCCCCGTCTCACACTCCCCCTCCTCCTTCTCCTCGTCGTCGTGTCGCGAGGCCTTCAAACCACCTCGCGCGTGAGTGCCACCACGCTCGCTGGCGCCGCGGGCGGGCGCGCGAGCGCGCGGATCCGCACAAAGCGGCCTCTGTGTCCAGCTGTGGTCGCCGCTGCTGCTGCTGCTGCTGCTGCTACAGCTGCTGTAGCTGCGATGACCACGATGATGAGCTGGAGAGGGGTGATGATGATGATGAGCTGGAGAGAGGTGATGATGATGAAGATGATGAGCTGAAGTGGTGATGATGATGATGATGAGCTGGAGAGGGGTGATGATGATGATGAGCTGGAGAGGGGTGATGATGATGATGATGGTAAGGAAGATGATGATGAGCTGGAAAGGTGATGATGATGAGGACGATGAGCTGGAGAGGTAACGATGATGATCATCCGGAGAGAGGTGGTGATGATGATGAGCTGGAGAGGAGTGATGATGATGATGAGGATGATGAGCTGGAGAGGGGTGATGATGATGATGATAAACTGGAGAAAGGTGAGGATGATGAGGATGATGATGATGAGGAAGATGATGATGAGCTGGAAAGGTGATGATGATGAGGATGATGAGCTGGAGAGGTAACGATGATGATCATCCGCAGAGAGGTGATGATGATGAAAATGATGAGCTGAAGTGGTGATGATGATGATGATGAGCTGGAAATGTGCCAGATTTTGACATATGAAAAGAAATCCGATACATTTGGACTCTCGGTGACTTTGGAAACTGATAACATCTCATGCACGTGAAAGTCGAGTCATCATGAATAAATAAATAACAAATAAACCTTCCCCTGGCAGTGAATTTACGTGATTTTTTCTCACGCTTCACCACAGAGCCAAAGACCCCAAATGTCAATCGCCCAAAATCAAACAGCAATGACAAAATTGCAATCGATGTAGTTACCACGTTTTTTTTTCTTGAGCGAGCTTATTTATTACGATGGCTTGGGATGGGGGGGGGGCAACGGAAGATGGAATTCCACATTGAAGCAGTGCGTGGGGAAAACGCAGGAAGAGATTTGAGGTGACCTGCAGTGTTGTGGATAAGTTGGTGGGTGAGTCAGTGAGTGAGTGGGTGAATGAGTGAGTAGGTGGGCGATTGAGTGTAAACGTGGGCGGGTGAGTAGGTGGGTGGGTGAGTTAGTGAGTGAGTGGGTGAATGAGTGAGTAGGTGGGCGATTGAGTGGACACGTGGACGGGTGAGTAGGTTGGTGGGTCAGTGAGTGAGTGAATTAATGGGTGAGTGAATGAGTGGGTGAGGGGCTGGGTGGGGAGGGATGGGCTGGGTGGGGAGGGGAGGGTGGAGAGGGGCTGGGTGGGGAGGGTGGGGCTGGGTGGGGAGGGTGGGGAGGGGCTGGGTGGGGAGGGGCTGGGCGGGGAGGGTGGGGAGGGGCTGTGTGGGGAGGGTGGGGCTGGGTGGGAGGGGTGGGGCTGGGTGGGGAGGGGCTGGTCACCCCGTGGTGCCCTTATAAAACTCAACGTTTAACCTACTCACGCCGGCTTGTGCCCGCCCTTACAGTCGGGCATATTTGCGGAATACACCACGCCGCCGTTGACCCTGGCCATTGACCGAGCAACCCAACGTTCCAACCAGCTCCCTCCGCAGGAATGTGTTACCCATGAGCTTATAGAGAGACTAATGACCTCGCATGGAGTTAATAGACTTGCATCGCATCAGAGAGAGTCACAGTCTAATAAAAATTACCCATAGACTTGCGTAGCGCCTCGTAGACTTCCATAGAGTCATAAAGGGTTAGAGTGACTTACAGAGACCCAAATACTCGCGTAAATATACAGATAGACTGTATATTTAGACATCCATGGACTCACATCAAGGCCCATAGATTGACGAAGACGATTTTGAGATGAAGCCGGGTTCTCAAGTGTAGCAGTAGGTTCATGGTCTTAGCCAAGTCACCATTGACTGCACTGAATGTTGGCAAACCCCTCGATCTCCGAGCATTCTGTCAAGCGACGAACATCACCCTCTACTCTCTCTCTGTGTGTGTGTGTAGTGGACCGAAGTGTCTAGCTCTCTGATGATCATGGTTGGCTGACGTACGGTGCACAAGAAGTCCACCGTGCGTTCATACAAAAACAAAGATCCCCCGTGTAGCCTTAACAGACTGTATGGGCAAGGGCTGTTAGCGAGCACCTATGAAGGGCGGCACGGTCCACGAGGGGGTGGGTGGCCAGCACTACGCCTGAGCGCCTTTGTCTCCCCAGTGGCGATGTTTACACACCGCACCAGGTACTCATTTTTTGGCTGAGTCGACTTAGGAGAGGCCCAGGACCGGTTCAAAGAATCGTCACCGGTGTTGGCCGTGAGAGTTCATAGCGCAGCGCGCTAACCGCTACACTACCGCTCCCCACGTTCACACACAAAGACAAAGATCCCCTGTATAGCCTTAACAGACTGTAGGGACAAGTGCTGTTAGCGAGCACCTATGAAGGCCGGAACGGTACACGAGGGGGTGGCTGGCCAGCACCACGCCCGAGCGCCTTTGTCTCCCTAGTGGCGATGTTTACACACCGCACCAGGTACTCATTTGAGTCTGAGTCGATCTAGGGGAGGCCCGGGACCGGTTCAGATAATCGTCACTGATGTTGGCAGTGAGCGGGAATCGAACCCGTGTCGCCGGGTTCATAGCGCAGCGCGCTAACCGCTACACCACCGCTCCCCCACGTTCACACGCACACGGAGAAGGTGGCTTGCAACGCTTGCGCGAGTGTTCCGAATGCATTTCTCGGTGGGTGTCGTGACGCACGCATCGCGATTTTTGAGTGACATTCGGCGAGCCCGGGCGGACCAATTTAGACGCTGAACATCCCCCCCCCCTCACCCCCCTCACCCCCCCCTCACCCCCCCCCCTCACCCCCCACCCCCCCACCCCCTTAGTCGTTGGCAGCGACTCAGCCAACGGGAGGTGCCACCGGGCTGTGAGTAAACGCAGCTGGGCCCGCGTGCTCGCTCCTCTCGTTGGCTACGTCACTATAAAGGGGGGCAGCTGCCACCGGGGGAGAGGGAACGACGCCTCCGATGGGGGGGGGGGGGTTAGATTCCATCTCCCGGCTTGGCAGTGGAAACAACGGGGGGGGCTGGGGGGGAGAGGGGGGGGCTAGTTTTTAACCCCCCCCCCCTCTCCCCTCCGCTGACTCTGTCCACCCAACTGGGGGGGGGGGGGGGCGGAAAAGGCCTCTGTGCCCACGTGGACGGCGCCCTCCTTGTCACCTGATCACGTGCCCGCTCGTGGGCGTGGCTTGCGCGACGACGAGCACCACCACGTGACGTGTTCTTTGTGTTGCGCGTGACGCGTCGAGCGCCACAACGCGTGCGTTTGGGTTATTGTGTTGCGCGTGACTTTGTGTGTTTCGTATCGAAATCGCCTCCTGTGCTGTTGCTGCTGGCGGCAATTAAAAGTGGTTTTCAGGTCAAAAGTCTGTCCACCCAGCGGCAGGAGTCGGTGGGGTTCAACCGCCGCCATCGGCTGGCGGGTTCGCACGTGGTCGTGATGGTGGTGGTGGAGAGACAGAGGTCGCAAACGGGTTTTGATTCCTTACCCGTACCCGTACCCGGCCGCACCAGGGTCGCAAACGGCTACCCGTACCCGTACTTGGCCGGGTACGGGTAGCCGGGTATCGGGTAGGGTACGGGTATCGGGTACCCGGTTGCGACCTCTGTGGAGAGGTTAGAGTGGGGGTTAGACTCTCGCCGTAGTTTCCTCCAAGGCGTCGGGCCGACGTGGAGGGAAAGGCCACGGGTCTCGTCCAGCAGAGGGATGCCATCTGGAGCTCCCCCTCCAGAATCAGAATCAGAGAGGGTTTTATTCGCCATGAAAGTTCGCACAGACAAGGAATTTACTTTGGCCGGAAGGTGCATACATTCAACATTTAGGAATCTTAAATCTTAAATAAGATTTAAGATTCGGAGGCCAATAGAGGCAGAGCCAGGGACCGACTCCGCCGCGTGAGCCGGTCCCTGGCTCCCGAGCCAAATCCGCTCGCCCCAAATTCGGCTGCTGTTTGCTCGATAAATTTGTCGCTTCGCGCTCGGATTCACGATGCGGTCATACGCGAATCGACTTTCACACCCACCCCCACCCACTCACACACCCCCACCCACACACCACTACCCACACCCACCCACACACCACTACCCACACCCACCCACACACCCCCCGTCCCACCCATCCACACCCACCCACACACCACTACCCACACCCACCCACACACCACTACCCACACCCACCCACACACCCCCACCCACACCCCTACCCCCACACACCCACACACCCACACACCCCCACACACCCACACCCACACACCCCCACACCCACCCACCCCACACACCCCCACCCACACACCCCCACCCACACCCCTATCCACACACACCCACACACCCCTACCCACATCCACCCACACACCCCCACACCCACCCACATCCACCCACATCCACACCCACCCACACCCACCCACCCGCTCGCTCGCCCGGGCCTGATGAGATGAGTCACCCACTCACCCCCCTAACCCTCCCCCTCCTTTCTTCGTCCACTCACCCCCTTTGCTCATATCTCCTCATTTTTGGCAGGCGTGTGCTTCATTTTTATTACGTTTTTTGGGGGGGGGGGGGGCGTGCGGGGGGGGTGCGGGGGGGAGGAGGTTGGGCAGCGGACGGGACTTGAACAGAGAGCGTCTGTGTGGAGATGCGAGGGCGTGCGTGCGTGCGTGTGTGCGTATGTGTGTGCATGCGTGTGTGTGTGTGCGCGCGTGTGTGTGTGTGTGTGCGTGTGTGTGTG